TTGCATTTTTGAACGAATCACGAAATCGCTATTTTTGAAATTTGTCCACGTGGCGCAGCAATAGGAGGTCTTTAGACTGAGCCAACCATATGACTTTTGTTCCTGTGACAGTTTAATAACATGTGTGATTTTTGCAAAATATCACCATTGAAAATCTTGTACTAATTTGTAGGTTACTGTATATTTCAAAAAAAGAACCATTCTGTATATAGGTTGACCCCCAAAGAAAAGGTTTCAAATTGGTAACATCACACAAACTGTAGGGTGGTTTGAATTAGAATATGCATGTATCATTAATACGTACCAATATTAACAACCAAAACTTCTTGAAATTTTTATAATGTTAAATTTCTCATTTGTTTTTTTTTGGCTCACATTAATTCAATCGACCAAGGTTTCTTTTGTTAATAATAATGACGATGATGATAACAATAATGGTAATGAAGATGATGACAATACCAAGAATAATGATAACAATGTTAATATAATAATAATAATGATAATAATAATAATAATAACAATAATAGCAATGACGGTGATAACAATGACAATAATAATAATGACAGCTGCAACTATGTAATAATGTTAGTAATAGTGATGCTAAATAACTCAATAAACTGTCCTTGATTTATGATGTGAAAATCTTCGATATTCATCAAAGATTGATGTGTGAGACTAACTTGCAATTTTCGAAAGGATCTCTCCTTTATTACAACTATTACAATGAATCAATTATCATTTCAATTAATAATATCACTCCTTCATTAGTATAACTGCTGGCGCAACACAAATTTTAATTGTATTTGAATGGCTGATTCGTATCTTTCCAAGATTCCAATAAAGGTTGGGTGACGAAAATATTTTGGAGTGTAAAAAGTATTCCGTCAAATGGGACACACGTGACGAAAGTGACAAAAAGTGACAAAGGGTAAAGTTAAAAGTCAAATTATGATAAAGATAACAAAAATATAAATTCAATTTTATTTAGATTTAATTTAACAAAATTTAATTTTAAACATTTTTTTTACATCGTAAATCATGTTTCTTATTTGGGTATATACTTAATTTTGCAAAAGTTTTAGTAAAAATTGCTGCTTCACATCTATTGCTGGTTTTTTCAAAATCTGTAAAATCATCTGATAATTCTGATTGTTGAAATGCTTCTTCATTTACTATTTTAACGAAGTGTAACCATGCATCAGACACAGGACGTCCTGTAGCTAATTCTTGATTATTGTTAAATGAACATTATCTAAATTTAATGTTTGCAAATTCATATTATATGATGATAATTGAGAAGGAATTGGTGAATTGGGTGAATTAGAATTTGACATGAATTTTATTTTTTTAAATCTACAAAATAATTGGTTTATTTTATTGTTTTGTTGATTTCGTCACTTTCGTCACTTTCGTCAAATTACTCAAAGTGTAAAAACCCTATTTCGTCACATTTATTTTCGTCATGTGACGAAAAGGAGATATTTCGTCACCCAACCTTGGTGTAAACCATTACTTATTGCATAAGTTGCGCGATCCCTTGATTATTGCTCATCCAAGATACAACATCCATAATTGTAAAGTTTTCTTTAATTCTATTGCGAACAAAACATGTTTTGAATTTACTTTTAGACCTTTATTTGTAAATAAAATATCAGGGATGTATCTCTCTCAAGTAAAAGTTGTTCAGATTTGATGAATTTCATTTAGACAAGTTAGTTGGTCTTTAAAATAAATATTTCATAATTTCTATAATAAATAGTTATGATATATTATTTTCACCCATAAAGGTTTTTTTAAAAAAGTTTATATATAATACAAATTCGTTATTCCAAGGTTTGAAATCTGTGAAAATTTTGTTAAATTTTGTGTGAGATTTCTCCACAAAGTTGGAATATTGATATTGTTCCATTACTTGTTAACAAGAATGCAAGAATATAATTTTTATAATCATTTTTTTTTTCTTAAAGCAAAAAAAGTAATTCCAACCAACTAAAATTAAATGATATTTACAACGTGCGAAATTTAGTTTAAAAAGTCCTTTTTTTTTATCAATTCCAATTCTTCATTAAAGAATTGTCACTGGTATTAGCAACCCTATGTTCAATAGTTATCGAATTTAATTTTTTTGATTTAACATTAAAAGTAATCCAACTAAGTAATTCATTCTTATAATATATAATAAATTTTTGTTAATTTCTGGTCTACTTCATTTTTGTAAAATATTGTTAATTGACAATCAGTGAATATTATAATCAGCCAGTAACCTTTTATAAAAACAAGTTACTCTTCCAAGATAATATTTATTGTTTTTAATTATTAGGGATGTCAAGTGATCCTAAACGACCGGCCTGTCTATGGACTGTCCTTGGATCGGTTGAATCTTTCCATAAAAAAGGACAGTCCATAGTTTCGTGGTCTTTTATCACATTTGTTGCCAGTCCTAAATGGTATTTTTTAAAAAAGACTGACAGTCCGGTCTAAGAATGGTTGACGAAATCGAAATTGGTTAATTAAACCGACCCAAACTTTCATAACCAATGATCAAATATTGATTTATATATATCAGTATAGTGATGTCACCAAAAAAAAGGTTTAGATTCGGAACCCTTTTTCCAGTAATGAATACCTATGTTACTCTACATATTGAATTGCTATATATAACACAAATAGGTAAGAATCAATAAGATTATAAAACCTTTGAGTAATTACATATGATCGGCAATTTGTCAGATGCATGATAATAATACAGTATATTGGCTGAAATGTTTGCACTATTGCT